TTTTTTCAGCGAGGCTGAGGCAGCTATTTTTATTCTTGAGTTTCCTGCACTGCTGCGTTACTGAGGTATGTGCTGCTCTGGCAGGTCTGTGGTTGCCTGTCTGTGCTCTCCTGCTCCGACAGCGCGGCTCTAAGGCAGCCGCTCTCGCCCGGACTCCTCCGCACGCAGCTGCTTTCTGCTCATTTACCCTCATTTGACCACATTTGTCCTTGGGCAGAGGTGATAATGCTGATTGTGTAAATAGATAATTGCTAATTCTGGAGCACGCGAGTTCCCGAGTGCAGCCCGTGGGCTTCTTAAGACCCGCAAAGACCCGTTTCATGTGGTCTGGGGAGGGACAGGAGCTGCAGCTATCCTGCAGTTTGCTGCGTAGCCCTTGGAGAAAAGCTTGGCTCAGCCACTGCTTGGGCTGCATGGATGGAGAAGTGGGAACTGGGGGCTGCATGGGCTGAGTCACAGCCCCAAAACTGGGATCGGTGCTGTGCTCGAAGCCTTCAGATCCCCGGGAGTGAGCAGGACCTCGCAGGTGGTCTCTGCAAGGAGCTGCAGTCTGTTTTCAGCAGGTTGCTTAGTCCTGGTCACCTCTTACAAGAGCGGTGGGGGGGGACAGTTGGATCGCCTGGCTTTGCAAAAGAATTTATCCAAGTTCTTGCATGTATTTGAAAGTGAAAGTGGGCTGCATGACGTGCTGCCCTGATGCCACGTGTGTGTTCAGAATGAACCAGGGGTGATGCTGGTGCTGTCTCTGTGCCTCCCACCCGCTCCCCTGCATGAGGCAGTAATTTTCCTAAAATCCCACGATCCATTTCTGGCACTGAATTGGGGAATCCTGCTCCACTCCTGTGAAAGAGAAACCTCCAACCCTTTCAAAAAGCAGTTTTCCCCTTCTTGCTCTCTGCATTATAAACCCAAAGTGCTGCCGTGGGACGTCTTTGGTTTCTTTGCCGTCCCGTGAGAGCAGTCACCATCTGTTCAGGGTCAGATTTCTTCTCTGGGTGTTTCCTGGGGAGTGTTGTGCATGGAGGAGCATCGTGCACGGAGGGCTTTGCCTCCACGGAACGTCCTGGAAACGTTCCTCTTGCAAAGAGTTCCCTCTGCAGCTCTGTGGATCCGGCGAGGCTGCTGCCAGGGCTGGGTCTGGCCGTGGGCGAGAGCATCTTCTGTGATGCAGGACGTGGCTGACGCCGAGTGAAGGACCAGCACTGGGACCGGAGTGGTAAAGCCTCACGGTGTTGGGGCTGACCCTCCCGCTTCTTGGCAGCCTGGGAGACTGTCCCAGTTCTGGCAGTAACTGCTGTTGGGGTCTGGTGGAGCCCAGCTCAGGCAGTGAACCTCCCCCGTTACAGCAGCGATTTGCCTCTTGCTACTTCCTCTCTCCTAAAGGTGGGAATGGCCACAGGAAGTTCATCCATCTGCTTGGAGGGGGCTCGTAGCTCAGCTTTAGGGTTCGGTGTTTACCTTCTGCCAGCGCCTGAGTTCTTCCAGCTGATAATTTATCTGCAGCAAAGGCTGCACGCGCTCTCAGAGCTGCTCCGTGGCACTCCAGAACAGGAGCCACTGGCTCCCAACCAGACCACGACGGAGGGTCTCCTGCTTTGCGCTCCCGTTCCAGGCACATCCGAAGGATTCACTGAACACGCTGGACATGGGGCAGGTGCTGCCTGTGCCCCAGGACTTGGGGCTGACTTGGTTTATGCCAGGGTTGTGATGTTCTGCAGTACCAGGAAACTGTGACCTGAGGAATGTGTGGCTGAAACTTCCATAAAATGAGTAAAACCACCCTGCTCCCCTCTGACCTTCCCAGCTGAAACAGGGGAAGGGGCAAAGTCATCGTAAACCAGAGCGTTTGCAGCGTTTACGTGGCCTGACGTTCCCCTGAGGACTTCAGTGAAACCCTGAAGATGTGTTAAGGTCTCTCCAGGAATCAGACAGGCACAAACCTGGAAGGACTTTGTCCTGGGGAAAAAAAAAAACCCTTCCCATCCCCTTTTTTGATAAAACTGAAGTTTGGCTGAACTTAGTACATTGAGACTGGGAGAGAAACTGGTGAGAAACACGTTTTTGCTGGGGAAGGCGTGGGGTTCAGGGTGAGAAATCCCATCAGCTCCAACGGGCACCGCTCAACCCGCGCGTGGACGTGTCCGCAGCCCTGGTGCTGCCACGGCTCACCGCGATGCTCCGGAGCTGGGGGTCTCCTGGGGGGCTGCTGGTTGTGGGGCGGGTGGGAGAGGACCGGTGGGATCCCCGGGACTAATGGACCTCCTGTCTCTCCGCAGACACTACCCGAAGCAGTCCTTCACCATGGTGGCAGACACTCCCGAGAACCTGCGCCTAAAGCAGCAGAGCGAGCTCCAGAGCCAGGTGAGCGCGCGGGTCTGCCCGTGCCCGCCGTGCATCGCCCCATCGCCCCGCGTTCCCGGGTGCTTTCCTACACCCTCACATGGGTGAGGGAGAGGCGGGTTTGGGGCACGGGTCCCTCCTCGCAGGTCGCACGTGTCCCAGCTGTGTTTGCCGTTCCCTCCATCCGGGAGCTGCTCCCCATCCGTGCCTGGCACCGCGTTGCCTTCTCCCAGCTGACATCCAGCCATGCAACTGGGTGAAATGGCCGCACTGGGAGAGGTGTTGTCTGTCTGGGCGAGTATGTGGGGTAAACCCAAATCTTGTAGGGCTTGAAAGCTCTGGCAAGCAGAAGTAAACAGATAGAAGGGATAACGACTGGCCCAGATAAGGATTTCTTTCTCTAGTGGGAAGAGAAGAGCCTGTTTGAGGAGGGTGTTGTCCAGACGTGTCCCGTTTTATACCCCGGGGTGTCCCTGGATCAGCAAAAGTCCCCAGCCTTGATGCACAGCTGTGGGCTGGGTTCTCCTGCCGGTATCTCCTGATGTTCTGGTGGGAACTGTTGGCTCTTGGTCCCCGGGCTGAGCCAAGGAGCGATCCCTGGTTTCCTTCTCTTACTCCAAGACTTGAAGAACAGAAAAGCAAACATCAGTTTTGCAGAGGAACAGCTGGAAGGGGCAGGGTTGGCACGGAGACGGATGGCTTCGGTGGGTGACCCTTCTTGGTGGGACTTTGCTCTGCTGAGAGGCTGTGTTGAAGCATCTGAGATGATGCCCTGAACCGTTGTTGTGAGCTTCAACGTGTGCTCGGAGTACGCTGTGCTGGAAGAAAACACATCCAGCGGCAGTTTTGGCTTGAGTCAGCGTCTCTCAGGAGAGCACAGGATGTGGCGACTGCTCTGGGAATCTATTTAATCCCTTTTTTCTTTTGAAAAGGGGCAAAAAGCCCGCGCGGAGCGTTGTCAGCAAGGCACGCTGGCTCAGCTCAGCCCCGTAACTGCTGGTCCCGGGCAGAGGGAGGACCGCGCAGGATTTGCCGTAGCGTTTTCAGGGTGGACAGTCGTTTTTTCAGGATCAGTGCACTCCTCTCTGCTGTGCTGTGAAGGATGCGGTGACCTTCCTTCCTTCTCTTCCCGTTAGCCCGGGAGCATCAGGAGCTGAAAAGCAGATTACCTGGGAACGCGTCCCGCTGGAGCAGGAGGAGGGGGAACCTCGGGACCTCATCAGACGGAGCTGGTGGTGCCCACGCAGCCCGCCCCAAGTTTTGCAACCTCTCCTTTTGTGAGGTCTCTTCCTCAGAGCCCGTTGCCCAACGGCTCCGTGGTTTACGCAAGTGCCGCTCGGCTCCAGCACGGGGCCTTTTGTTCC